ATATTCTAAAATCAAATTTTCTTCTATCTTATGGCTTATGTTTTAAGATTGTCTCGAGGTGCTCTTGGTTAATAACCAGAAACTGTAAAAATATTTTTGTAAACTATGGGTACTGTATTATAGGAAGAGTTGATCTTTACATTGATCTCAAACCATTTAGTGTANTTTTTTTTTCTTTTTAATGCATTTATAGACATTTCTCAAATTCTGTTTTCACTTTGTCATTATGAGATACTGAGTGTAGATTAATGAGGAAAAAAATGAATTTCAAAAACTAGAATCAGAATGCAGCATAGCAAAATTGACAAAAGTTAAGGGAGTCTGAATACTTTCTGAATGCACTATAACTCTCAGACTACCTGTAGATCTACTGCACTTTCCCTGAGATATAAAGATGGAAAAAGACATGAGGATATATTCAGGACCCATTGATTGGCCACCATATCAAGCCATAGGGAAGCAATCAGTTATTAACTGAGTTATTGGTTTGAGCTCCGAGCTTGGTGATTTGGTTGCAAATGTTTCATCCTGATTCAAGGAGACATCTTCAGTGCACTTTGGATTGTCAAAGCGCACAATTCAAAGTGCACTGAAGATATCTCCTCGAATGGGGACAAAATGTTTGCAACCAAATCTCCAAGCTCAGAGCTCAAACCAACAACATTACTACCAACCTGAGCTACTAATATTTGAAGACATTTCAGTTATTAACTGAATCATAATTGTCTTCTTTTACAAATGATAGTCACTGGAATCACACAATGCACTATGCTAAAGCCAAATACAGAATATTGCAAACTAATTAGATAAAACACTGAAGTAAAATTGATGGCCCTAGTTATAAATATAATACATTAAATTAAAATTAATTACATTCATCAGGTAAAAAATATCTAGAAATATAGTAACTCAGATTGTCCAATTTTTTAAAAGATTTGGGATTGCTTGTGCAGTTTTTGCCCATTAATGAGAACTGACTGCAATTCCAAAATCTTAAAAAAATTTGGACAACATAGGTTATTATATTTCTGGATAACTTTTTAAAGGAACTGAAAATTAAACATTCAGAAATATTGTAGATGAAGATTAGTTGTGCTGCTTGTATTTCTCCTGCCCTCACTTCTCATTGCATTTTCTTAGCAATATGGATGCATTTCCCAATCTCTTGAAAGGGATTGGGAATTAACTGTTTATCCTTCCAAGATAAATAGGTGTTTAAGGGGTGTTCTGCTTTACATAAACAAGAAATGATGCCAGAAACAGGATGTTCTGAAAAGTAAAGATTGAAAAATAGATTAAGATGATAAATAAATAGTGGAATCCAGACTCCAATGGAAGTTTGACTAAACCTATTCACCTGCATCGTGCAGAATGCAAAAAAAGAATGGGACAAATAAACTCAAGAAGTAACCTGTGTTATTATATAAATAACTACTCTCATTTTGTCTGCCTTCTGCTTTTTCTTGCCCTAGAAAATGGTGCTATATATGAAAACTTGCTTTTGTGGGTTCATGTGTGCTTGTGCAGGGATCTCATTTGAACCAATTCCATTGGGACTAGTTAGGACAACACCTTCTGGTGGCTGTTGTCCATGGAGTGCTTTCAAAAACAAAGAAATGCTTACTCTCCAGGGTCTTGTCCACCAGGCACTTCTTGTTATTTAGAAAGTATTTACCTGAGATGTGGTGCTTAAAATCCAAACCCAAAAGGGACTTCACTGTTTTATGAAGAGCCTAGCCTGATAGAGCAACATAAGAAGTGGCCTTTACATACAGTCCAAACATATTAATTATGATACAAATGTTTGTGGAATGCAGCTCATCAGAGCCAAATCACAAGTATCTCTATATTTGAAATGGAGAACTTTGAATGACATGTCCAGCAATGAAGGATCCTTCAAGTTGTACTTCAGCGATACAGATATGGAGAGTCACAATTTTTCCTGGCTCTGGTATGTGCTACCCATGAGGATAGGATGGGGATGACAAACATGGAAGTCCAAGTAAAATGAAATACAGAAAAATTGTAAAAAGTTTTTAGTACATTTAATTGTAATGTATTTTCTGAATTGTAAGTTTCCCAGAGTTATTGACTGAGGTGGGCAGCTGTAGATGTTCAATACATAGCTAAATAAATAAATAAATAATCGAAACTATGAACCTCAGTTTATTGTATGACTACACAGAAGCCTGGTTTACAGGCACACTTAGTGAAAATTATCTTTTATATATAATTATAACTTGATAAGATCACACCTAGGCAAAATTAATCCTTTTTCCCACTTTGCAGCTTAGTTTGTAATAATGAACTCAGTTCAATCATATCAAATCATGAATAACGTAGTCATAACGTATAAAATAAAAAGAACTGGCTGAATTTACATATCATACTCAGCCCAAATCTTGAAGGAATACGACATCTAAATCAAAGCAACCACAGTACATCTTATTACAATGAATGTTGTTTGTTGCTGTGCAAAGTGAAGGCAAGAAACACACATACAAAATAAGAATCGTGCACTTGGAGAATAATTAGCATTGTTTAGGAGGTAGGTTTAGTTCCAACAGATACTTTTTTATATCCTGTTTAATATGCCTGGAAACGAAACAGCACAATTTGTACTTGATGAAATGTTATGCTGGTGCTTAGATTGCCTAAATAAGCCTCTGCATGTATAATTGTAAGAAGATGGAGTTCAATGGAATTTATTCCTAGGTAAGCATGCATAATACTGTAGCCTTAACCATTCAGGTTTCAAAGATCTCTGCTTCTGTTCTATAAATGTTCTAGCCTGCATATTGTCTGTTATCATAAATACGGAGTCCTGCTCAAATTTAAACGCTTTGAATGAATGAATGAAGTATGTAGTGGATATGTTAAGCCTATATACATCCATTCACACACCATGCTAGGACATAATGTGGTTTGGTGAACCACATTATTACAGTTTCTAAATCATGTTTCCAATTTGAGGTGTTGTTGTTCAAACACAATAAGGTTTCCTGAAAACACAATGGATGAACTCATTTAGTGAATCACATGAAATGAAATCCAGCTATCATGTTAGCAAACAGTTAGGTACAGAGTATGTTTGCATGTTCGTTAAACCGTCTTGTTTGGTTAACAAAGCTACTCCAATGGGAAAACAATTGTCTAGTCCAGGAGTGGATTCTGGGAGGCACTACTGTCGGTTTGCTTGTGAGTGCTCTGCGTGTGCGCGCTTTGCCTGCATGCGCAGTGCAATAAAAATTGTTCTGCACATACGCAGAAGCGGAAAACAAGATGGTGGTGCCTATGGTGTCACTCAGTTCGGGGACGTGGCAAGCCAGGGTTGCTGCCGGTTCTAGCTACCCAGGCCACCAAACCAAATGGGAACTATCTTTTCCTAGTTTTAGAGACAATTTGTTTCACATTTGTTCTGTTTGTAAATTTATAAGTGAAAAATATAGATATGAGAGATACCATCCTATCCTACGGATTTTTAGTTATTTTAGGGAAGTTGTTTACACTATTATTACCTTTTCACAGTTGTGAAAGTAGGCAGCATATAATATTA